CTCACCTTAGTATCATCTTGCCATCTCTCCCTCCCTCACCATCTCGCCATCCCTCCCTCCATCCCGTTGCCGCACCTCGTCATAGTGCCTCGCCATCTCTCCCTCCCTCCCGTCTCGCCATAGTCCCTCCCATCTCGCCAACTCGCCATAGCCCCTCCCTCCCTCCCTCAACATCTCGCCATCTCGCCATCCTCCCCTCCCTCCCTCGATCCATCTTATATTTTTCTTTTTTTCCTTGGTAAGCAGTCTCCCTTCACCCCTTCATCCCTTCATCCCTTCTTCTTCTTCTTCTTCTTCTTCTTCTTCTTCTTCTTCTTCGGCATTGTAAAGCAGTCCCCCTCCATCCGTCCATCCTAGCTTTATCAAGTGCTTATTGGAAGCGGAGGAGGTGGTTGCAGCAGCATGGCCAGCTCCAGCAGGGCAGGGGGTGCGGTTGGCGGAGAAGGAAGCAGGAGGCAGTCGGAAAGAGGAGGGGGTAGAGGGAAGGACATTGCGAGCTCGAGCGCACCTTCGTCTGGGCTGGTTGACAAAGTCCCCACGCCGGCTACAGACCCATCCTTGTTCGTCCCACAGGCGGAGGAAAAGCAAAAGAAGCTGCAAGGCGAGAAGGAGGTGTGGAAGCATGTAGAGCAAGGTCAGGAGGCTGTGCCAAAGGGGCGGGGAGAGTATTGGCTGCGGTGTCGGCTGTGCTCGACCATTTACAGGGGCACGAGCACAAGAGCCGTTGAGCATTTCCTAAAACTGCATAAGCCTTGCCCTTTCAGGACGGGCGAGATATTGCACAAGCTGGTGGCCCAAGGCGCGAAGGTGCTGCCGAAGGACAAGAAGACGCAATACATTCTGCAAAATTATCGGCAGCTTCACAACATTTCGGCGGGGGGTGCTACTGTCAATGACGACGACGAGAGTGTGGTTGTTCCTCGCGGTTATGAGGAGCCACAACCGCCGGTTGCTGCTGGGAGGGAGCCAGTGGAGGAGCCGGTGCAACGGGGAAAAGAACCTGCAGCGGCACAGGCGGCGGGAGAAGATGGTGCTTCCACCACAAGGATGGCTTCGATGCAGCAAACGACCATCAAGAGATGGGTCAACAACGCGGCGCAGAAGAAGTTGGATGTCGCGTGGGCGGAGGCAATGTTCAGAGCCGGAATTGCATTCCAATTCCTGGAGTTCGACACCACGCAGCAGCTGCACAGCGTGTACCTCGAGGTGGCGAACGCCAGACCGCAGGTGAAGTTGCCGTCTTCGAAGCACATTCGGACTGTCATGCTGGAGTTCATTTTCATGCGCATTCAAAAGCAAGTGGAGCCGTTGACAAAATGTTGGGATGTCACCGGCTGCACTTTCTTCACGGACGGGTCTAACGATCGGAGGGAGCGGCTTGTCATGAACTTCTGAGCGGTGGGGGAGTAAGGAGCTGTTCTGGTGGCGACGGTGTACATGGACGACAAGAAGAAGACGGGAGCGGCGTTGGCGAAACTGTGGGAGAAAATAATGAGGGAGAATGGGCTGCATCGCATCAACGCGATATGCACTGACAATGCGGAGGTGAACAAGAGAGCAGCTCAAATTTTGGAACGGCGCACGGACCCTGCGGTTGCAAGGATACCTTGGGTTCCCTGCGCTGCACATTGCTGCAGCTTGCTGCTAAGGGACATCAGCAAGTTGGATTGGGTGAAGGGCACGGTGAAGCGGGGCCACACCATCGTCAAATTCATCAGGAATCACCACAGGACAAACAGTTTCACGATGAGCTTGGACCATTCCTTGACGCTGTTGCGACCGACCGAGGTCCGTTTCGGGTCGGTGTACCGGATGCTGGAGCGGATACACAACCGGAGGGCAGTTTTGAAGGACATGGTGGACGCGACGAATGTGGGGAAATGGAAGGCGATGCGGTGGTCGAGCGCGAAGCTGCAGGTGAAAGCGGATCTCGTGTACTTCACACTGCGGAGGGATGCTTGGTGGACGGAGCTACAGAAGGTGGTGGAGATGATGGAGCCGTTGTATCTCCTTCTGCGGAGGATGGACAAGGACGGGACAGCACCGTCAAACCTTGTGGAGTACGACCGACTCATGGAGAGGATGCTGGCGGAGGTTGTGCTGACACCGGAGCAGCGAAGTTCGGTCCTGGAGAAGGTGAGGGACCACATGAAGATGATGCGGCAACCGGTGCACGCACTGGCTTTTCTTCTCGACCCTCGGAGGAGAGATCCGAAGTGGTTGCTGGATCGGGACAGCGCACTTGTGCAGAACGCGCTGCGTTATTTGCAGAGGCAAATTGGCGGACCTTGGAAGTCCCAAGCGCACAGGGATATAATGAAAGACCTGCGCGAGTTCCACAAGCAACCCACCGCATTCGACCCCAATCGGAAGGACAAGAAGATGTGGAAGCCGGATGCGGTCGAGGATGCTGATATTATCTCGCCATCGGAGTGGTGGGCAACATATGGTGGCGATGCGCCGAAGTTGCAGGCCATCGCCATCAAAGTGATGGGCATGTGGAGCACAACAACTCCGGCGGAGCGTAATTGGTCATCGATGGACTTGGTGCACTCCAAGCGACGGAATCGGTTGAAGCCCGCGACCGTGGAGAAGCTTGTGTACATTCATTGGAATATAAATCTTTTGCGGGCGAGCAAAAACTTGAAGGACCATCACTACGTCGATTTGTGGGCGGAGTTCTTCGAGTCTCTTCCGGATGCGAAGGAGGGCGACGATCCTCTTTTGGCGGGCCCGAGGAGGAGAAGGGGAAAACGGAGGAGGAACAGGCCCGGGAACGGGCCTTAACCAAGTTGCCAAAGGGCCGGATTGCGAAGAACCTCGAAGATGATGAAGAGGAGCACACGGACGACAGCGACCTGAAGGATGAGATATGGAAGGGAAAGGCTCCATGGTCGGAATCGTCTAGCGAAGGGGAGGCAGACGACGGGTCCGACGATGACTTCGAGCTGGGAGCGTAGCCCACAATCCCGGGCACCACATATGTTGGGAGGAGGCGATCAACGCAGTGCCACGGAGAACGCCCGCCCACAACACCATGTCAAGGGACGGCTAATACAAGTGCGCAGTACGACATCCAGTCCGATGTTGAGATACCGCACACGGACACCGACATTGAGATGGTGCTTCGCCCTGGTCTGCTTGACGCGGATGAGGCGGAGGCCGATCGTGCGAAGGCAATGGCTGATGCGGATCGCGAACGGGTGCAAAGGAGAATGAGAGAGGAGGAGGAGCGGCGAGCAGCTGTACCGACCCGTAGAGAACTGCAAAAACAAAAGAAGGTTGGAGAGAATGAACCGGAGCCTGCGCGGGAGATGGGGCAGCACGAGGAGGAGGAAGAGGAGGAGATGGGGCAGCGAGACGAGGTGGAAGAGGAGGAGATGGGCCAGCAAGACAAGGAGCAAGAACACGAGATGACCCACCAAGCGCAGGAAGAAGAAGAGATGGAGGAGGAAGAAGAAGAGGCTTGCATGGAGCAGCGCATGCGAAACGGGTGGGAGAGAGCGAGGAGGAGCAGCAGCATGACGAGATGGCGCACAGCGAGGAGGAGCCGCAACAGCAACAGCATGCACGGACGACCGTGTACAAGCGTCGAAAGAAAACAGCAGAGCCTGCTGGGTCGCCGGAGAATTCCCCCGAATTCCCAGACAACTTAGAGGGGAGCCAACACGACAACCTGTGGGTCAGCAGGGTTGGGAGGAAGAGGAAGGCCCCCCCTGTCGATGATGTGCCGAGGCCGAAACTTCCACGTGGCAGGCCTCGGAAGAACAAGACTGCCAGCCCAGCTACGGAGCCGAAAAGAAAAAACCGGAAGTGCAAGCCTCGCACAAAGATTGTCAAGGACGACCCCGATTCCGACAGCTGCAGCGAGCAGTTCGTCGAAGACGAGGGTTGCACTGATGACTAAAATTGGTGTGGGTGTGGGTGCGTGTGTGTGTGTGTGTGTGTGTGTGTGTGTGTGCGTGTGTGTGTGTGTGTGTGTGTGTGTGTGTGTGAGAGAGAGAGAGAGAGA